TTCAGCAGAAACACAACTGTCTTTAGTAAAAGATATAGATTTGACACATAACACCAACACCACTTTAGCTGATTTAGAACCACAGACACATGCTCAGTATAAGACCAGATACTTTTGCATTTGATTGAAGACAGACACTCACCAGGCAGAGTTGGCTAATCTCCTGGTGTAATGCTAGTTGTTGTTAGCTGGTGTTAGCTGGTGTTAGCTGGTTTTAGCATTAGCCGGTGTTAGCCGATGTCCGTAAATGTAATCCATTTGGTCAAACCACCTCCAGACTTTTCGGGTCTGCCTCTACTTCTGCTGCTGCGATCTTTCATTTCACGGTTGTCACTTTTAAGCTTTTTAACTTTTCTCTGCATTGTCATGTTTGTGGGAATCATTCTGCTCCGTCCTTAGCGCTAGCTCCACAAACACCTTCTGGTTTCTGGTGGAACCATCGAGCTCACGCTGGTGTCCTCTCCTCAAACTGAGGAAGGTGTTGCCCTCATCCAGCGACCAAGGAATTCTTTTCCGTACGGACGTCATGGATCGAGGCAACATGTTGTTTGTTATGATATTTGCTACAGCTGAGGCAGCAGCTGCAGAGTGATTGACAGCGCATCTGACCAACCAGAATTGACGTTCGCCGACGTCAGATTGTTTTGGTGGCCTGGCTAGTGGAGTGAAGTCGGCCTTTACTATTGGTCAGAACTACATATGGAATGAAAGGCAGCGCCACCACCGAGGCGTTTTTGACGCTTGTCGAGTGAAAGCCCGAGAGCCGCACGGAACCAGCCAAAGAGCCGCATGCGGCTCACGAGCCGCGGGTTGGCCACCCCTGCACTAGTCTCACCAGTCTCACCAGTCTCACTAGTCTCACCTCACTAGTCTCACCAGTCTCACTAGTCTCACCAGTCTCACCAGTCTCACAGTCTCACTAGTCTCACTAGTCTCACCAGTCTCACAGTCTCACTAGTCTCACAGTCTCACTAGTCTCACCAGTCTCACCAGTCTCACATCAGTCTCACTAGTCTCACCAGTCTCACCAGTCTCACTAGTCTCACCAGTCTCACCAGTCTCACCAGTCTCACTAGTCTCACCAGTCTCACCAGTCTCACTAGTCTCACCAGTCTCACCAGTCTCACAGTCTCACTAGTCTCACTAGTCTCACCAGTCTCACTAGTCTCACAGTCTCACTAGTCTCACTAGTCTCACCAGTCTCACTAGTCTCACAGTCTCACAGTCTCACAGTCTCACTAGTCTCACTAGTCTCACCAGTCTCACTAGTCTCACAGTCTCACAGTCTCACTAGTCTCACAGTCTCACTAGTCTCACTAGTCTCACAGTCTCACTAGTCTCACCAGTCTCACAGTCTCACCAGTCTCACCAGTCTCACAGTCTCACCAAACACTTTGACCAATGAAATGACTCAGATCCATACTTACACATGTACAGAGTCTTATCGTCTGCTGCTGTTCTCTTGATTATCAGTGAAGTAACATCAGAGAGGGCGGGGCCTGGGCCTGTGGGCGGGGCCTATGGGGCTCTGTGGCTCCACTGCAGTCATCATGATATACATGAGAGGTTAGCCTCAGACAGCCTGTTGCTGGTGTTTCAGTGAGAGCAGGATGTGTGCTTTGATGGTATCAGTTGATGGTATCAGAGGAGAAAGTATTCCATGTAATGACTGAGTCTGCGGCGCTCAGGGTCATCGTCCGAACATTTGAAATCATCCAAAACCAGCAGTGAAACGATCCATGGTTCTGAGAGATCTGGATCTTACCATAAGTCAGAGATTTACAGTCTCACGTGAGAAGTTCATGAGGAAGTTGTAGAAAAACTACTGCAATACTACTGCAGTATTACTACAATACTAATGCAGTACTACTGCATTACTACTGAAGAACTACTGCAATACTAATGCAATACTACTGCAGTATTACTACAATACTAATGCAGTACTACTGCAGTACTTCTCAAATGAAGCGTCTGTAAGATCTAGGCTGATGTTGACAACAGTAAAAACAATATTTCTAAGATATAAAGACACTGAAGAAATGAGTTTGATCAGTGTCAGATCAATATTATTATTATTATTATTATTATTATTATTATTATTATTATTATTATTATTATTATTAATAATAATTATTATAATACATTATTATTGTTATTATCAGTTTTATACAGTTTTAAACCGTTTTAAACAGTTCTTTTCTGGACTCTCAAAGTCTCTTCTCATCATTATCCTCTCTCTCCAAACTCTGTGGTGATAAACTACTGTAGCCACAGCTGCCCTGGGGCACACTGACAGAAGCGAGGCAACCAGACTGTGCCATTGGCCCCTCCCACCAACAACCATTCACACACACACCAGACTCATTCTAATGTGGGGGAAGTGTCTTGCCTAAGGACACAACCACAGTTTGGCACTTTACAGCCGCAGCCGCCCCACTGTGGCACCAGCTGTTCAGAGGTCTCCCATCACAGCACTAACCAGGCCCTGCCCTGCTGAGCTTCAGAGGATTGACAGGATCTGGCTTCACCTGCAGGTATTGTCCAACTATTTCATTATTCTAGGAGGAACAACACATTATTTATATTTTCAAGGAAAAAGAAACGTCTTCAAATCAGTAAAACATTTTTGAAAATCTGTGAGTCGTCTCTAATCCAGGTCACACTGTAATCTCAGTCTCTAATCTCTAATCCATCTCACACTGTAATCTCAGTCTCTTATCCATCTCACACTGTAATCTCAGTCTCTAATCTCTAATCCAGGTCACAATGTGATCTCAGTCTATAATCTCTAATCCAGGTCACTCTGTAATGTCAGTCTATAATCTCTAATCCAGATCACACTGTAATCTCAGTCTCTAATCCATCTCACACTGTAATCTCAGTCTCTAATCTCGAATCCAGGTCACATTGTGATCTCAGTCTATAATCTCTAATCCAGGTCACACTGTAATCTCAGTCTCTAATCCAGCTCACACTGTAATCTCAGCCTCTAATCTCTAATCCAGTTCACACTGTAATCTCAGTCTCTAATCTCTAATCCATCTCACACTGTAATCTCAGTCTCTAATCTCTAATCCAGGTCACAATGTGATCTCAGTCTATAATCTCTAATCCAGGTCACACTGTAATGTCAGTCTATAATCTCTAATCCAGTTCACACTGTAATCTCAGTCTCTAATCTCTAATCCATCTCACACTGTAATCTTAGTCTCTAATCTCTAATCCAGGTCACAATGTGATCTCAGTCTATAATCTCTAATCCAGGTCACACTGTAATGTCAGTCTATAATCTCTAATCCAGGTCACACTGTAATCTCAGTCTATAATCTCGAATCCAGGTCACATTGTGATCTCAGTCTATAATCTCTAATCCAGGTCACACTGTAATCTCAGTCTCTTATCCAGCTCACACTGTAATCTCAGTCTCTAATCTCTAATCCAGCTCACACTGTAATCTCAGCCTCTAATCTCTAATCCAGTTCACGCTGTAATCTCAGTCTCTAATCTCTAATCCATCTCACACTGTAATCTCAGTCTCTAATCTCTAATCCAGGTCACAATGTGATCTCAGTCTATAATCTCTAATCCAGGTCACACTGTAATGTCAGTCGCCCCACTGTGGCACCAGCTGTTCAGAGGTCTCCCATCACAGCACTAACCAGGCCCTGCCCTGCTGAGCTTCAGAGGATTGACAGGATCTGGCTTCACCTGCAGGTATTGTCCAACTATTTCATTATTCTAGGAGGAACAACACATTATTTATATTTTCAAGGAAAAAGAAACGTCTTCAAATCAGTAAAACATTTTTGAAAATCTGTGAGTCGTCTCTAATCCAGGTCACACTGTAATCTCAGTCTCTAATCTCTAATCCATCTCACACTGTAATCTCAGTCTCTTATCCATCTCACACTGTAATCTCAGTCTCTAATCTCTAATCCAGGTCACAATGTGATCTCAGTCTATAATCTCTAATCCAGGTCACTCTGTAATGTCAGTCTATAATCTCTAATCCAGGTCACACTGTAATCTCAGTCTCGAATCTCTAATCCATCTCACACTGTAATCTCAGTCTCTAATCTCTAATCCAGGTCACATTGTGATCTCAGTCTATAATCTCTAATCCAGGTCACACTGTAATCTCAGTCTCTAATCCAGCTCACACTGTAATCTCAGCCTCTAATCTCTAATCCAGATCACACTGTAATCTCAGTCTCTAATCTCCAATCCATCTCACACTGTAATCTCAGTCTCTAATCTCTAATCCAGGTCACAATGTGATCTCAGTCTATAATCTCTAATCCAGGTCACACTGTAATGTCAGTCTATAAGCTCTAATCCAGTTCACACTGTAATCTCAGTCTCTAATCTCTAATCCATCTCACACTGTAATCTCAGTCTCTAATCTCTAATCCAGGTCACAATGTGATCTCAGTCTATAATCTCTAATCCAGGTCACACTGTAATGTCAGTCTATAATCTCTAATCCAGGTCACACTGTAATCTCAGTCTATAATCTCGAATCCAGGTCACATTGTGATCTCAGTCTATAATCTCTAATCCAGGTCACACTGTAATCTCAGTCTCTTATCCAGCTCACACTGTAATCTCAGTCTCTAATCTCTAATCCAGCTCACACTGTAATCTCAGCCTCTAATCTCTAATCCAGTTCACGCTGTAATCTCAGTCTCTAATCTCTAATCCATCTCACACTGTAATCTCAGTCTCTAATCTCTAATCCAGGTCACAATGTGATCTCAGTCTATAATCTCTAATCCAGGTCACACTGTAATGTCAGTCTATAATCTCTAATCCAGGTCACACTGTAATCTCAGTATCTAATCTCTAATCCAGTTTACACTTTAATCTCAGTCTCTAATCTCTAATCCAGGTCACACTGTAATCTCAGTCTCTAATCTCTAATCCAGGCCACACTGTAATATCAGTCTCTAATCTCTAATCCAGGTCACACTGTGATCTCAGTCTCTAATCTCTAATCCAGGTCACACTTTAATCTCCACAGAAGAAGAAGGAGTTGGCTTCATACCTTTGCAGCTGCGTCCATCAGACATGAGAGAGAATCCTGAGAGACAAGAGCAGAGGGGGCTCCCACCGACCAACCTACACCACTGAGCACATCCCCGCTCTGCAACACAGACAACAAACTATTTCACTTACTTTCATTTCATTCATTTGTAGTAAATTATTTGCATTTTATTGATAATTTCATTGTTTTTAATATTATATTATTTTACATTTTATTTTGTTTAATTTATTTTATTGTATTTTATTTATTTCATTTTAATTTGTTTCATTTTAATTTTAGTTTTTTCTTATCTCTTGTTGCTCAATTTTTTTGTATTTTTTATTGTACCCAGAAAGGAATTAAAGGGAATAACATGGATGTATTTATCATTTCATTATTATTATTAATTTAATTTAATTTAATGTTTAAATACATTTTTAATTGATGTATTTCTTTTGTTCATGTGTTTCACTACCCTGGTCTTACCGCACCACTGTACTCATTTAATAAAATAAAAAAAGGTCTGGATTAGCTCCATTGACTCCGTTAACAGGTGGGAGGGGTTCACTCCTTTTGCAGATTTAAGTTTACCGTGACTTATGTAATGAGCCCGAGTGAGTCGCTAGCATTTAGCATAAAGCTTAGCTTTAGCATATAGACTAGCTTTAGCATGTAGCCTAGCTTTAGCATTTACCTAGCTTTAGCCATCTCCTTTGCCGCTAACGGAGCCCGTGGGGAGTAGAGCCACAACATCTTTGCTTCAGTGACATTTACTAAACATTCCTCTTGCTCCGGCTTCAGTTTCTTGATATTTGGATTGAACCAGAACAGATTATTTTACTATCGCATTCTCCGACAAACTACAACCTGCAAATTCAGTACAAACTCTGACGTCACCGACACCGACCTACAACACCCGCCTCCCCCGCTCTCTGATTGGTCGGACGAGATTCAACCGAGGAAACTGACCCAGACATGTAGGAAATGATGTTAAGTGCTTTAGAATCTGCAGATGAACCAAATCTCACCGTCACACAGGCTGGAGGGGCGTCTGGTGCTGGTCCCACTGGTGCTGGTCTCAGTGGTGCTGGTCCCACTGGTGCTGGTCCCAATGGGGCTGGTCCCACTGGTGCTGGTCTCAAAGCGGTCGTCATCCTCCGTCAGTCTGTTGTCTTCCTCAGGCCTCTCTGTGAGACACGAGAATCTGATTCAGAAGAAGACTGGGACACTTATTCACTATGGTCCTGTGTGACCATGTGTTCACACAGGACCATGTGTTCACACAGGACCATGTGTTTACGCCAGACCATGTGTTCACACAGGACCATGTGTTCACGCCAGACCATGTGTTCACACAGGAGCATGTGTTCACACGAGACCATGTGTTCACACGAGACCATGTGTTCACACGAGACCAAGTGTTCACACAGGACCATACGTTTACACAGGACCATGTGTTCACACTAGAACATGTTTTCACACCAGACCATGTGTTCACACCAGACCATGTGTTCACACTAGACCATGTGTTCACACCAGACCATGTGTTCACACTAGACCATGTGTTCACACTAGACCATGTGTTCACACTAGACCATGTGTTCACACGAACCATGTGTCCACACCGGACCATGTGTTCACACCAGACCAAGTGTTCACACGAGACCATGTGTTCACACGAGACCACGTGTTCAAACTAGACCATGTGTTCACACCAGACCATGTGTTCACACCAGACCATGTGTTCACACTAGACCATGTGTTCACACCAGACCATGTGTTCACACTAGACCATGTGTTCACACCAGACCATGTGTTCACACTAGACCATGCGTTCACACCGGACCATGCGTTCACACCGAACCATGTGTCCACACCGGACCATGTGTTCACACTAGACTATGTGTTCACACCAGACCATGTGTTCACACCGAACCATGTGTCCACACCGGACCATGTGTTCACACTAGACTATGTGTTCACACCAGACCACGTGTTCACACTAGACCATGTGTTCACACTAGACCATGTGTTCATACCGGACCATGCGTTCACACCAGACCATGCGTAAACACGGGACCATGTGTTTACACCAGACCATGTGTTCACACCAGACCATGTGTTCACACCGGACCATGCGTTCACACCAGACCATGCGTAAACACGGGACCATGTGTTTACACTAGACCATGTGTTCACACCAGACCATGTGTTCACACCGGACCATGCGTTCACACCAGACCATGCGTAAACACGGGACCATGTGTTTACACCAGACCATGTGTTCACACCAGACCATGTGTTCATACCGGACCATGCGTTTACACCGGACCATGCGTTTACACCGGACCATGTGTTCACGCCGGACCATGCGTTTACACCGGACCATGCGTTTACACCGGACCATGCGTTTACACCGGACCATGTGTTCACACCAGACCATGTGTTCACACCGGACCATGTGTTCACACCAGACCATGCGTTTACACCGGACCATGCGTTTACACCGGACCATGTGTTCACGCCGGACCATGCGTTCGTTTGTGCGACGCAGCAGTACGTCTGATTTTCTAAACTCATGAGGTTGAAATTTAGTGAACAATTGTCCAAGACACATGGTCCTGTGTGAGGTGCCACACTGACTATAACACAGGTTTAATGATAATGATAATGATAATAATAATAATAATAAAAATATTAATAATATAATATAGTAATAATAATAATGAAAATAATAACATAATAATAGTAATAATAATAATAATAATAATAATAATAATAATAATATAATAATAATATTATTATTAATAATAATAATAATATAACAATAGTAATAATAATAATAATAATAATAATAACGTAACAGATCAGCAGTGAGTGGAGGAGACCTGGTGGTGACCTGGAGTGCAGGAGTGGCCGTCCGGCTGCAGAGAGTAGCCCTGGTGGCAGCCACAGCGGTACGAGCCCCCTGTGCTGGTCCCTGTGCTGGTCCCTGTGCTGGTCCCTGTGCTGGTCCCTGTGTTGGTGCATGTGTGCTGGCAGAGCTGTCCCGCAGATTGGCAGGGGTCGTGGCCCCTCTGTGGGGGGGTGGTCTCCTCTGGGGCGGAGAGGGCTTCTCTGGGCAGAGTCCTGTCAAACACTGGAGCAAAGGGACGAGCCGTGAGCCACAACAGCAGAAGGTTATAGTGTCTGAGATGAAACTGAGAGGAGCAGACACAGCTCCGGCTTCACACACACGTTTGTTCAGTTCTACATCATCATCATCCTCTTCATCATCATCACTCATTAAGAGAGCATCCTGCAGAGCTCGGGTCCAGGGACCGTCCATCATTCCATTAAACCACATACTTTTGAAAAACAATATTATTCCCTATGATCAAAACTTCAAATACACAGATACACACTTTTACTGTCGTATCAGTGTGTGTGTGTTTGAACTGCTTTGCTTTAAACTAACCCTAATCTGTCAGTATATTGTATATATACAGTATATGTATGAATGTATGTGTGTGCGTATTTGTGTACGTGTGTATAAATGTATGCTGTATGTGTGTATATGTGTATGTGTGTATAAATGTATGCTGTATGTGTGTATATGTGTATGTGTGTATAAATGTATGCTGTATGTGTGTATATGTGTATGTATGTAGTAAGTAGTAAGTAATGTTTATTTATAAACCGCCTTTCACAGACCAGAGTCAAAGTGGTTTACAAGTGTTGTGTGCATTAGTCTGTCACTCACACAGAGATGGGAGGGGCCAGTACAGGAGGCACAGACCTATTGTACATGTTTTTAGTGGTAGGGGAAACCGGAGCACCCTGAGGAAACCTACACAGACAGAACATGCAAACTCCACTCAGAAAGGCCATGTTCTGAACGGGATGTACTGTATGTGTGTGTATAGTGTATTAATGTGTGTGTGTGTGTGTGTGTGTGTGTGTGTGTATACTGTATGTATGTGTGTGTGTGTGTGTGCGTGCGTGCGTGTGTGTGTGTGTGTGTGTATGTCTGTGTGTGTGTCTATGTGTGTGTCTGTGTGTGTGTCTGTGTGTCTGTGTGTCTGTCTGTGTGTGTGTCTATGTGTGTGTGTGTGTGTGTGTGTGTGTGTGTGTGTGCGTCCCCCCCCCCCCCACGGCTCGTCTGTGGAGCTTTCCTTCTCTTTACATTCAGAGCGAGGGATGTTTTTGTTTTAATTAAAAGACGATGAGTTACTGAAAATAATGACATCCTTTTTTCATCCATAAAGACTGATTCCAGACGCCTGGCATTCACGGCTGCGTGCAGGTGACCCCCCCACCCCCCCAGGATGACATCATCCGAGCGTCGTTAAAGAAAACAAAACTATTAAAGTTCAGAGACTCATCAGACTCAGAGGAGGCTCCATCTGTGTTTGAGGAGAGGCTTAGACTGAGGCTGCGACCCCAAGAAGGAGCAGGACAAAGATCCCTCTGTCTGTGTCCGTCTCCTGCACGACTCTGGACAGACTCAGATACTTCCTCTGTTTGGACCGTGAGCTTACCTAACCCTAACCCTATCCTCTGGACAGAAGCCAAGACTCACCTCAGAATCAGGGTTATATAAACCTCAGAGGAGAAGTCTCTGATGGAGCATGTGCCGCTGAGCTCTGGGCCCAGAGATGAATGAAAGAAGTCAGTCTGAAATCTGGGAATAATTGAACCCAGCACTGGTTCCTTTTTACACTATTCTCTCTGGATCACGACCAACTGCTCTCAACTTTCAGGATCAGAAACAAACTCTCTGCAAAAACAGATCCAACGTAAGAAAGGTTTCTTTAATCCTCAACTTTGTCTCTAAGAAAAAACTCCCCATTTAAGACAAACTGTACTAAAATCAAACGTTCTGCTGTGAGGAGATGCATGTAACACAAGTCAGACAGATCTGACAAAACGAGCGGCTGAACCTTTAACGGGGATATAATCAAACAGATTGTTCTTTTCTAATGTTATAATAATGGGCTCTCTGACCTTACCTGGGGGCCTGACCTTGCCTGGGGGCCTGACCTTGCCTGGGGGCCTGGACTTGCCTGGGGGCCTGGCCTTGCCTGGGGGCCTGGACTTGCCTGGGGGCCTGACCTTGCCTGGGGCCCTGGACTTGCCTGGGGGCCTGACTTTGCCTGGGGGCCTGGCCTTGCCTGGGGGCCTGGACTTGCCTGGGGGCCTGACCTTGCCTGGGGCCCTGGACTTGCCTGGGGGCCTGACCTTGCCTGGGGGCCTGGACTTGCCTGGGGGCCTGACCTTGCCTGGGTGCTGTTGTTCCTCTTGGGGGGCCTGCAGCTGCCTCTTCCGTCCACAGGAGCAAGGGGCCTCTGAGGGTCTCTTCTCTCCACAGGAGCTGGGGGCCCGGAGCTGCCTCCTCACAGCAGCGGAGGAGGATGTGTCCACAGGGGAACCCCAGGAAGTGGTGCGAGTCGCAGCTCAGACCGTCCTGCTGCATCTGGAGGCCGAGGGCACAGCAGCTGCAGCAAACCTGCACACAGGGTCATGACCCCATAATGTTCTGCTCATCATGTGTTCAGTGTTACAGAAGATTAAAGTCAAATGGACACAAACAAACCATCAGTAACTGCAGCTTTCCACATTCACTATTAAAGTCCGTCCGTCCATTTTCTTCCGCTTCATCCGTTGCCGGGTCGCGGGGGCAGCAGTCTAAGCAGAGACGCCCAGACTTCCCTATCCACACACACTTCCTCCAGCTCGTCCGGGGGGACCCCAAGGCGTTCCCAGGCCAGCTGAGAGACATAGTCCCTCCAGCGTGTCCTGGGTCTTTCCCGGGACCTCCCCAGGGAGGCGTCCAGGAGGCATCCTGAACAGATGCCCGAGCCACCTCAACTGGTTCCTCTCGACGTGGAGTAGCAGCGGCTCTACTCCGAGCTCCTCCCGTGTGACTGAGCTCCTCACCCTATCTCTAAGGGAGCAGCGGCTCTACTCTGAGCTCCTCCCGTGTGACTGAGCTCCTCACCCTATCTCTAAGGGAGCAGCCACTCTGTGGAGGAAGCTAATTTCGACCGCTTGTATCCGCGATCTCGTTCTTTCGGTCATTACCCAAAGCTCATGACCATAGGTGAGGGAGGGAACAAAGATTGACCGGTAAATCGAGAGCTTTGCCTTTCGGCTCAGCTCCCTCTTTACCACAACGGTCCGATACAGCTCTGACTGCAGACGCTGCTCCCTCTTCACCACCACGGTCCGATACAGCTCTGACTGCAGACGCTGCTCCCTCTTTACCACAACGGTCCGATACAGCTCTGACTGCAGACGCTGCTCCCTCTTTACCACAACGGTCCGATACAGCGACCGCATCACTGCGCACGCTGCCCTGATCTGCCTGTCACCCATTAAAGTATTGTGTCATATTTATACATGATGTCTATATTTACAGTAAAACATGCTAGGCTACGTTTGTCTCCGCCGCCATCCCTCTCTCTGCTATGTAGGCCTTCCCTGCAAGTCTCCCTGCACCGACACCATGGGTCTCCTCTGGTGTGGTACATCTGTACCATGGGTCTCCTCTGGTGTGGTACATCTGTACCATGGGTCTCCTCTGGTGTGGTACATCTGTACCATGGGTCTCCTCTGGTGTGGTACATCTGTACCATGGGTCTCCTCTGGTGTGGTACATCTGTACCATGGGTCTCCTCTGGTGTGGTATATCTGTACCATGGGTCTCCTCTGGTGTGGTATATCTGTACCATGGGTCTCCAGCCCTTTCTAGCCATTGGTAAGACTTCTTGAGATCAGCCACTTCTGTTATGCTCCGGTGGTACATGCCGTGTAGGGGCTTGTTCTCCCATGATGGGCTCTCCTCCAGCACCTCCTCATCTCCCCACTGCCTGAGACATTCACTGAGTACGTCATCCGTTTTGGCCTTCTCCATGATGTAGTTATGGAGTTTGGATGTTTGGTCCTGGACAGTGGCTCTCACACTCACTAGTCCTCGGCCTCCTTCTTTACGGCTTACGTACAGTCTCAGGGTGCTGGATTTGGGATGGAACCCGCCATGCATGGTAAGGAGCTTTGAGTTTTAACATCCGTGGTCTGAATCTCTTCCTTTGGCCACCTGATTATTCCTGCAGGGTCTGATCACTGGCAGGGCGTAGCTGTTAATTGCCCGGGCTTTGTTCTTGCCATTGAGCCGGCTTCTTAGGACCTGCCTTACTCGCTGGAGGTATTTGGCAGTTGCCGCTTTCCTCGTCACCTGTTCGAGGTTGGGTTAGATCAGAATCAGAATCATTTTTATTGCCACGTAAGTAACAAGAAGTCACAGACTTGGAAATTGCTTTGGCTCAGTGCAACAGTCAGAAAGAGATAATAAAAATAAGAATAAAAAACACTTCTAAAGATTGAGTTTAAATTTAAAATAGAGTTACAGTTACTATTTACAATATACAAGTGCACATGGTGCACACCATGTAAGGTGACAGCAGTACAGTGAAGTAAAGTGACGTATGATGGGCAGTAAAGTGACTTTATAAAGGGCGGGGGGACAGGTTAAGAAGTGTTCAAGAGTCCAACAGCAGAGGGGAAGAAACTGTTCTTGTGGCGGGAGGTTCTAGTCCTGATGGACCGCAGCCTCCTGCCGCACAATGCACTGTAGTCTCTGTTTGTCCCTGACTGTGGCTCCAGCGAACCACACGGTGATGGAGGAGGTGATGGAGGAGGTGATGGAGGAGGTGCTGGAGGAGGTGAAGGAGGAGGTGATGGAGGAGGTGATGGAGGAGGTGATGGAGGAGGTGATGGAGGAGGTGATGGAGGAGGTGATGGAGGAGGTGATGAGGAGGTGATGGAGGAGGTGATGGAGGAGGTGCTGGAGGAGGTGATGGAGGAGGTGATGGAGGAGGTGATGGAGGAGGTGATGAGGAGGTGATGGAGGAGGTGATGGGGGAGGTGAAGGAGGAGGTGATGGAGGAGGTGATGAAGGAGGTGATGGAGGAGGTGATGGAGGAGGTGATGAGGAGGTGATGGAGGAGGTGATGGAGGAGGTGATGGAGGAGGTGATGGAGGAGGTGATGGAGGAGGTGATGAGGAGGTGATGGAGGAGGTGATGGAGGAGGTGCTGGAGGAGGTGATGGAGGAGGTGATGGCCGTGTGGAACTGCACCAACATCTGTGCAGGCAGCTTGGCTTTCCTGAGCTGCCGCAGGTATACTGAGATACTGTGGTATACTGAGATACTGTGGTATACTGAGATACTGTGGTATACTCAGATACTGTGGTATACTCAGATACTGTGGTATACTCAGATACTGTGGTATACTCAGGTCCTGTTGGTTTGGATCAGTCTGATGTAGGTCCTGTTGGTTTGGATCAGACTGATGTAGATCCTGTTGGTTTGGATCAGTCTGATGTAGATCCTGTTGGTTTGGATCAGACTGATGCAGGTCCTGTTGGTTTGGATCAGTCTGATGTAGATCCTGTTGGTTTGGATCAGACTGATGCAGGTCCTGTTGGTTTGGATCAGACTGATGCAGGTCCTGTTGGTTTGGATCAGTCTGATGTAGATCCTGTTGGTTTGGATCAGACTGATGCAGGTCCTGTTGGTTTGGATCAGACTGATGCAGGTCCTGTTGGTTTGGATCAGACTGATGCAGGTCCTGTTGGTTTGGATCAGTCTGATGCAGATCCTGGTGGATCAGAGAGTCGCTCTTGGCTACAGTGTGACGTCCTCCGTGTACAGGAGGTCACTGATCTTTGCTCCTGAGGCGGTATCCAGAGCCTCAGGAGAGGTCTTTGGGTCTGGGGTTCAGGCCTGTGCAGATCAGCAGTGGGGACACTCCTTGGTAGTAGCCATATTTGAAAAAAGTTTAAAGAAGCGAGTTCTGCCGTTACGGTCGGTCTGATCCACAACAGCTGAGACACGTCACCATCGCTCTGAAAAAGTCCAAACATGTGCTGACTCAGCGGAACTAGCTTCTGTACACTTTTGTCTTCTTTTGTTGATTGATTGGAGTCGTCAGGACTGTGTGTGAGACGCACTTGCCTGATAGGAGTCGTCACGACTCTCATCATAAACAGCAGGTGTGTGTGATGCACTTGCCTAATAGGAGTCGTCAGGACTCTCATCATAAACAGCAGGTGTGTGTGATGCACTTGCCTGATAGGAGTCGTGAGGACTCTCATCATAAACAGCAGGTGTGTGTGATGCACTTGCCTGATAGGAGTCGTCAGGACATGGAGCCTCCACGTCACAGGAGCCTCCTGCTCTGGCTGCAGTCACACCAGCCTCACACTGAGTCTCCCTCAGAGAGCTTAGACAGCACTGATGCTGAGCCACTCTGCAACACAAGAACATTTTCTACACACACTGGGACGTCTCATGGTCCGGGACACATGATCTGGTACAGATGGTCTGGGACACATGGTCTACAGCCTCAGTCCTGGGTCTACAGCCTCAGTCCTGGGCCTCGGCACATACCTGCACACAGACGCCTGGTGGACCGAGGGCGGCGGCAAATCCAGACAGTGGTCGTTCTGTTGGGCCCAGGTCTGACCAGCAGCACAGCAGCTCCTCACCAGGTCCTCTGCACCAGCTGCACACATGCTCATGGTTCATAACACGTTCATAACACGTTCATACCCCGTCATCCACAGAAGCCACGGAGCAGACAGAAGCTGCTCTCAGGAACATTCATCCTTTCACCACAGTCAGAGGTAGAACTTCAGACACAAAGCTTTAAACAGCTGCATCTGGTTCTAAAGAGGGAGGAGCCAGCTTAGTGCTGTGATGGGAGACCCATGGAAACACCAGGTGCCACACACATCTGTACAAACTCTGCCTCTTAACTTTCAAAGTCCAATTTGAATGAACCCAAACTTAACAACGGCTAAATGTTCAACGCAGTTCGACGCTCGAACACGCGTCACCATAGACTTTGCATTGAAAGTCGACGCAGCAGGATCGGTCTGAATGTGGCTTTAGTGTTGGCTTTTTCCAAAGTCAAATGTTCTCTGCTGTTACAT